ACAGCTCCGCCTGTGCAGGCTGTGGGGGGAGCTGTGCCTTGCTGAGTCCTGCTATGTCTGAATAAAGCTATGTCGCATCTGCCCACGGCTCCTCGCATCTTCTTCCAGCTGCCAGAACCGTGCACCCCAAGCTTCGGGTATCCACTACGATACTCATAAACAGAAGGATAAATGCAGAGGATACTATCATAAACAGAACCAGTCAGAGAGTCTGTTCTTAGGGAACTACTAAAGCGTACTGTTTAGAGGTGGGTCAGACTTCAATCGAGTAATCACACAAACATGAATAGATATTAGAACGTATGTTATAAAAGAGAAGTTCATAGCACGATAAGAGCATCTTGCCAAGGAAGTCAGGAAATTTTCATTGAACATGGAACAACTGAGCTAAAATATAGATGCACAGGAGGAACGTAATAAGGAGAGGAAGGAAGAACATTCCATGTAGAAGGAAAAAAACAAGTCTGCAAAATCTCTGCAGCAGGAGGAAGAGGGTTCAACAAAAGAAATATAAAAAGCCACCGCGGCGGATCCATGGAGGGTAATGAAGTCGCAGGAAATGAAGTTGCAGCTCAGCCAGACTCAGCCATGCTGAGCTCTGTAGGCCAAGGAGAGTAATGGGAAGAGGCTTAACACTTCTGAGATGTAAGTTAACAGTATTACCACCCTATTTATGTTTTGAAAACAACTCCACAGTACTGAGAAGGGGTTAGAAGGGATTGGAGGTGTGATGGTTAAATTCGATGTGTCAACGTGGCTAGGATATAGTGTCCAGTTATTTAGTCAAATACTAGTCTAGATGTTGCTGTGAGAGGATTTTGCAGAAGTGCTTAGAATCTATAAGCTGCTGACTTAAAGTAAAGGATACTGCCCTCCACAGTGTGCATGGGTCTCGTCTGATCATTTGAAGACCTTACAAGGAAAAACTGAGGTTTCCGAGAGAATAAGGAATTCTGCCCCAAGACTGTTACATAGAATTACTGCCTGAGTTTCTACCCTGATGGCCTGCCCTACACATTCAAGCTCAAGATTGCAGCATCGACACTGCTTGAGTTTCTAGTCAGCCAGTTGGCCTTCCCTATACATTTCAGACTTGCCAGAATTCTCTGGAGAATCCTGACAACCCTGACTGATACAAGGAACAAAAACTAATTTTGTAATCAAACCCGTAAGCGTTTATTGTGGTTTAGAAATTTTCGGTGATAGATATAGAGAAAAATGGCCAGATTCCAGAGAAGTTTAAAAAGTAAAAATCAATACAATTTGGTGATGAATTAATTGGATGTGGAAGGAGCTTAGGAATAAGTGGGTTGAGTAAAAACATGGAGTTTCTGATTAAGCCTAACTGGATTATAGTGGCACTCAAAATGAGTTCTGCTCGATTTCAAAGACTCCTCCAAGACTGTCTAGAGAAGAGACGTAGACAAGACAGTAGGCTATATCTGTCTGGAATTCAGAGGAAAATTGTGGGCTGGAGATACAATTTGTCTGTCATGTGGATACAACCGACAATTGACAGCATTGGTGTATAAGAGGTAACCTGGGCAGAGAACCGACAGGGAGAGAAAAAAGGGTCCAAGGATCAAGCTGAGAAGCTTTTCAACAATGATAGGTCTTAGATCTTGTGCCATTCCTGGTTCAAATAGGGCATACCACAAAAAAGCCTGGGCTTCTTAGATTTCATGCTAAGCTAAAGGAAGTTTTACCTAAAAGAGAGAAAACTGAGCTTATTAGGCAAACTTGCTGACACTGACCAACTTTATCAAGTTTCCAATACCATGTTCTCCCCAAAGATAAATGAGGTAGAACTAAACCCAATGGATTCCTCTTCCATGAAGCCCTCCGGATCACTCCTCTCTTACTAGACGTGTGTCCTTTGAGTATGTATCTCTATTAGAACCTCTGAGGAGTTCCTATCTACCTGTCCCAACAGATTTTTTTTTTGCACCATGAGGACATTAACTATAGCATTCATTTCGGTATCCCTACTATGCATCTGGCATTTCCTGTGTACACAAGAACCATTATGAAATAAATAGTACATGAAATCTCAGAAGTGCATTATTTATTTTACCATAGTTATTATCACTAATTTCATCACAGTACAAATATTTTGGCAGCCCTTAAAATCGCACATCCAAGCTGTCTTTCTAAAAGGCATTTCGGACAAAGTATGAAACCTACATTTAACCTATGTATTTTTCCTCCCTCAATGTGTTTCCATTAATAATTTTTTAATCGGTATTTTATGGATCCTTCCAAAAAAGCCGTTTGCTCCTGATTTCAGTGATCCATCTCTTGCGTAATAGAACTCATGTGATGGCTCAGTTTCATCAGAAAGCCAGGACCCAGGAGTCTGGTCATGATTACAGAAAAGAAGGTGCATTCTAAGCGCTGTGTCGACTTATCGCCATCCGAGAAGAGAAGGTAATTTCATTCCATTCATGGCCACTGAGGTCAGTATTAAACATTTTATAGAAAAGCTGCAAGTGACCTCCTCTAACGACTTTTCCTAAATCTGTCAGGTCCTATGTGTTCGAAATAAGAACTGTACATTCCATCTCTCTACTCAAGGTTATTGAAAAATCCTCTTTTGAAAGTGTATCCATGGTTTTAAAAATATACATGGAGAGAAGAGTGGAAGATGTATTTTCTAAGAAAAACAAAGAGTTTCTTCCTTGTTTTTTTGTTTTGTTTTCTTTTTGGCTTTTTTTAATTTTTATTTTTTAAACACAATCAGCTTTGATTTGATGGGTGCAGTGAACCTGTCAGGCAGAATGCTATCAAAAGAAGTAGCCTGAAGCCGTTCCTGGGGGAATATGCATTTTGATGTCTGACTGTCCTTATCTTACATGAAAGTATTTGGTTTAGACAAAAATTTCCTTTGACCCAGAAATGACAAACACATACAATTAATGTAAAAACAACAAATCTAGGCCTTGGAAAAAGGGACTTTGAACGCTTTGATTAAAGTCCATTCAAACAACCTGACCATATATTGCTTTTTAAAGAAACCCCAGTTTGTGAACTAGGAATAAAATTGTTTCACTAGGTCCTCGGAGAAAATGGCAAAACTAGAAGTCGAATCTCTAGCATTCTTTTGGTCCCTGGAAGACTGCTAAAATCCATTGTTTCAGCAAAGATATCCTCATTGCTTGACTAAAATTTTTAAGCAGTTAAGTGAATCAATCTCTCTCTCTCTCTCTCTCTCTCTCTCTCTCTCTCTCTCT